AACTCAAAGTCGACTGGTTAAAATCAATAAACCCACTGAGACAACCCAACCGAGTTAACTCAACATGGGCTAACCCATGCGAGTACGCGGGGCGTACTCCGGAGGTACGCTTAGCGTACATGAAGCTTCACAGAAAGCCACCATCGGGGTGGCTGACCGGGTACACGGGGCATACACCAATAGACCTGACAATCGTGTCATGTTCGGGTTGGCGGGTCGCAGGTTGGCGGGTCAAAATATACCAACCCAAGCACGAACCATTTAATTATACAGGTCACGGGTTGGCGGGTTTGGAACATAAACCCATATATGACCCGTCAACCCACTTATTTATACGGGTTCATAGGTTGGCGGGTTCGTGGGTCAGATTTGTGTTCGTGTGTTCATGGGTCAGATTTCATAAATAAAATTGATAATTAAACATGAATAAATTCTTGATGCAAACATATCCGAATTTTAGAAACTTAAGTCTTAAACATCCAAGTGAAAATAAAAAACATTCATGGAAACATGTTCAAACTAAAACATTAATACAAACATAGATAAATTCAATCGCAGGCGTCGACGTCGTTTAATAATGATTCAATCGTTTATGCCACCGTTCTTGTGAGATACTGAGATTATTTAGGGCAAACGCTAAACGCGTTGCAATGTAAATCAACAGATGGTTACCCACGGGTCAAATGGTCAATGGTATTGGGTATCCTATCCTAGTATAAAATATAAACTATATAGTGTATAATATTTAATATATTTAAAAAATATATAATTTTTTTATTAAAATTCTAAACAGGTTGGCGGGTCAACCCATATATTTTTTGAGAAACCCATATATGACCTGTTTAATAAACGGGTTGATGGGTTGGCGGGTTGAAAAACTCAACCCAAACCCATTTATTTCGTGTCGTGTTGCGGGTCGTATCGTGGGTCGTGTCGAGAATTGTCAGGCCTATACACCAAGCTACGCGGGGCGTAGCCTCGCAGCCTCAATTTCTTCATTAAAGTGCTTAATGGCTTCTGCACTTAAGCTCACACTTCAGATCCACGGTCCAGAGGCATACTAGGGTCATAAAGTTTCCAACTTTATGACTCTACACGTCCATAAAGTCCTTAACACAAGGTAATAAGCCATTATGACCTTCTACAAGATGCATGGAGCCAAACTAGCTAAAAGGACCTCATTTTTATGGCTTAAGACCCTTCCTAGGGTCTGGAAGGACAACCCAAAACGTCTTAAAACCAAACATGCATGAAATGGGACTTTTGAGACAAGAAGAACAACATAAGGTTACCAAAATGAGATCTAAGCAAACAAAGCATCAATGTGAAGACTTTTTACCTTCTGGAGCTTCTCAAGAAGGTAATGATCCAAGATCTACAAGCTTGCTTCCACTACCATGCTCCTTGACGCAACACCTTCTTCCTCAAGCACACCAAAACACACTTTTTAGCTTAAACACACACTTGAGGGACTAGGGTTTTGCAAGTGGCGACTCTAAGGCTTTGGAGGCTGAAAAAGTGGGGATAAATGAGCCATAAGGATGCTTAAATACCCCTCAAACCCTAAAACTTATGGTTTCTTTCGGACATGAGTACGCCCAACGTATATATGTGTACGCCCAGCGTACTAGGGTGCACCCTAGTATGCTTAGCGTACCCATATGTATGCTTAGCGTACTCTTCCTGCCCCAAAATTACAATCTTGCCACTAGGGCTTCTTGTGGCTACTTCCTTCCAATACAAGGACCAAAATGACATAAATTGAAACCAAGGGATGAATTTAAAAATACCTGAAAACCGGGGTGTTACAGTATGTGCTTATAGTCTTTGTGACTCCTGTTGTATGTGTTGTATGCATGTGTGCCTGTTTGCTATATGTATATGGGGTGAAATAGACACTAGGGTGAAATAGACCCGATGTAACCTTGTGATGACATATGAGTTGAAATAGACTCAATGGTGAAATAGACCTGATACAACCTTGTGTTGACATAGGAGTTGAAATAGACTCGGAGGTGAAATAGACCCGGGGGTGAAATAGACCCGGTACAGCCTTGTGCTGACATATGAGTTGAAATAGACTCGGGGGTGAAATAGAGCTGACACAGCCTTGAGCTGACATATATGTATGATATGTGTTATTTTGGGGAACTCGCTAAGCTTTGTGCTTACGGTTTATGTTTATGGTTTCAGGTACTTCCGGTTCGAAAGGAAAGGTCCCGACGTGACTGCACAACATCCCCCCAGAGTTTTTTGCATTGCCATTAATGATATTACTCTGATGTTTAAATAATATAATTACTTTGATCGGTTTTGGAACAACTCATTTGTACGATTTATCATTTTGAAAATGAAAAATTTACTATGATCTTTTGGGACGTTACAAGTTGGTATTAGAGCCTTGGTTTGAGGGATTCGGGCATACTCTCGGGTGTGTCTGAACTCAAACTGAGGAATTGGTAATTTTTGAAAGGAAATAAAATCTAAAAGGATTTTTATAAAGAAAAAGGGGGTGTGGTGCTTGCAATCAGACGAGCTCAAGTAAGTGATTCCCAGAATACCCATACATGTTTGTTATGTTATACGTTATGAGAATTACATGCTAGATTAGGGCTAAGGATCTGTTCAGGATTTCATACTAGGAAAGATGCCTTTATATGCCTGATTGTTTGAGCTTTTAGAGTTGCATGCTAATATGGATTTCAGATGATTGGTTTGACCATATTGTGCAACTCTGTCTGAGTCTAACCGTTGTAGGGACGAGTCTTTTACTCGAATGATTATCTAAGCTGTGTTGCATGCGATTGTATTCATGAAGTAGTTAACCGACATTATTGGGAGTACTTCAGCAGCTGATGGCAGGGTGAGGTCGGGAACCTAGGAAAGCCTAAGATATAGCCGATTTTAAGGATGAGCATATGGACCGGGGAACCGGCCGGAACCGGTACCGGAACCGGAACCGGAACCCGATGGAACCGGTCGGGCCGGGACCGGGACGATATTGTTGTGCATTTTTGGAACCGGAACCGGTGGAACCGACAAAAACCGGAACCGTATGTTGCTATTTCTCGAGGACCGATTCCAACATTGAAGACACAACAAGAACCGGTAGGATCCGAGAACCGGTAGAACCGGAACCGGTAGAACCGGCGGTCTGGTTCGGTTATTAATTTCGGCCGACTTCGGTTCCCGGGCTGGGTCCGGTTCGGGACGGTTCCAGCCGGGTCGGTTCCTTTGCTCATCCCTAGCCGATTTTTATGTGCTATTGAGCGAGAATGTGGGGTACCAGTTTGAGAAGACGACTTAGAGGATTCGGGACAATTCTTGATGAATGTGGTTGTATTTTATATATATATATTTCTGTTCGATGTCTTTGTTCCAGGGGTAATAAAAAGAAACGTGTTTTTTTAAACAATAATATTAATTTTTAATTTAAAGTAATACTAATATGGTAAATATTTTTTAAAATACACTAAAAGTGTAATATTTTTTTCAATCATCTTATTATGATAAAAAACTCTTAAAATTT